AAATAGTTACATTCAAATAAACTATTCTTAATCATTGATTTAATGGTCAGAAGTGAAGTTGGAAGCATTTCTCCTGTACAAACTTACATTAGATTATGAAAAGCAGATCATAAATGAACAATCATTAGATCAATTAGAAAATTTAATTGTTCGATTTCAATTTAGACAATGACAAAGTGATTTAGAATCTGGTACTTATTAAAGTGCAACATAATATCAAACATTGCATTCAATTGAATTACAAAATAAAAAACAAACTTTGTAATTTCCTTTTTGGAGTAACAGAAAATTCGGCAGTTTCATCCGGTACGAAGTAATGCACACAATTCTGTTACTGATGACTAAAACGATTAACCACAGTTTACAGAAAGCATCGCGCGATAGTATACCTCCTTTCCCATATCCCCTTTCACCCTCGTCGCTGCTTATCACACGCGTTCCACTCGTATCGTTATCACACTCGAGCCGTTGCGCAGCCACAATCGATCGTCCCTTCTTTGGACATACGCGTTTTCATTTTTTTTTTCCCTGTATACAGCCCTTGGCAAAGCTGTCTTTTTCCCTTCGTTACGCCCTTTCTGCGTGCCGTACACGTTCGTAATCGCCTCTATTCATACCGCGAAGCGGAAAACCGGTAGTCGCTAAAATATCCAACGAGAACGGAGTGGCTCGTAACACGAAAAACGGGCAATCGATCGTTCCGTGGTAAACACGCAGCTACCCGGCCCGTTTCGAAAATACTCTTCGGGTGAGGTTTCTTGAATGATGCACAAATGTTTCTCAGGTACGCAGGCCGGTGAGCTGGATCCTCGGCTGACGAATCGCGACCTCTCGCCGTTTTCTCTTTTTCTTTGATTTATTTCACTAATTCTCAAACGATAAAAATCAAATGGAACTTCTAACGAACTCCTGTATCGAACTTAGTACTTTATACATTATTAATCAATTACATATAGATATGTATACTAACATTATTTTGTATTCTTATCGCGTATCTTCGAGTGGTGGAATGCAGGAGATATAATTTCCACAGAAGGTTCAGCTTGGAACTAAT